GGCAAAATATGTATTGAGGTTATGTTATTTGACACACATAGGTTTAGACTTGCTTTATTTCAGTTGAGCAGGCTCTTTTTTTGTAATGAAATGCTCCTGTTTGTGTTTAGTAATACTTCCTCCTTAAGTTGCCCTTCATCTGATGGCATTATATTTCTACTGCCTTGTATTGATGAGCTCTTAGAGCTGGAAGCTATTTTATAGGTGGACTCGTTCACCTTCATAAATAATTTGATGTTTCTAATTCTGTTGTTGAGTTCACCCAGATGTCACTTTCTACTCTTGGTCCCACCGTAGCTCTCTTAAACTCTGTGGAAGCACAGTTGATTAAAATGATCTCAGTTGACTTTTCTGGGCTAGGTTTTTCTCCTGAAATTTGTATTTGATCTATTTTGGGGAAAGTGAAGACATGCTTTGAAGGCAGTTAGTACTGACTTATAGCAAGGTTTATATTTGTCATGGTTCTTTCTTTGCAAGTGTCCGTGCCACTCAGCTAGTCTTTGCTTCAGCATTGTCTTCTGAAACCTAGTTTTCCCTTTACTGCCCAAGGACTGGTTACTGAGTGTCTGCCTGCTCTGGTCTGCAGACATGATCTGCTGCAGTCTCTTCCTGAGTGCATTGTGGGGCATCCAAATCCCCTTCCATCTTGGATAGAAGGGAGAATGACCCCAGAACGTTATGAAAAGATAGCCAAATTCTAGGTGAATATGCATTTTATAATACTGTATCAAATTTCCATTGTCTCACTCTTCCTTTTAAAGGTTTCCTTGCTTCTCTCACTTGAGAAGCACTGGTCAGACACATACAAAGACTTTGGGGCCTTCCATTGTAACCCTTGTGTCCTCTTGTGGTGTCCATCATGCAAAAGGCAGTGGAGCCTTTGTGTTCACTACTGAAGTGGTGTTTGAGGCCCAGAGTAATGGCAGCTGGCCTAGGTCCATGTTGCATATAAATAGACCTTATGCCCTGACTGATTCCTATGTCAGTATTCTTTGTACGAGTAATTAATCTAAAAAATATTTTTTATGTTTAAGGAATTGCATTATGGCTCTACCATTTACAGTCTGAATAAATGAGTTTATGTACGCATGCTTTGCTGTCTTCATCTGTAAAGTGGATTCATAATTCTTTTGAAGCTGGTGGAGTGTAGAAGGATTAATAATAGAAAACACAAAAGACCTACAGGGCCTCGCCTTGAGAAGTACTAAAACAAGTTACCCAATTCATGCTACTGACCTTGCAAAGTTAAGTTCTGCGAAGGATTTCCAATTTTCTGTGGACCTCTATTCTGAGTTGTTCTTGTGTTTCAGTGGAAGTCAGTGAGACTGAGCTGTGTTGTTGAGCACTGTGACTGCTCCCTCTAATTAAATGCAGCCCTTGTCCAGGCACTGGTTTTCCTCCCTTTGTGACCTCTTTGCCATTACACCTCTGCTTGCATCATAACCATTTGCTTGGAAACTCCCAAGTCTCCTTTCTGTTGTTTACTGCATAACCCCACAGTATTATAGTGTCCGGCATGGCAGTCTATTCCTTAGGTATCACAGATGGAAAATTATTGTTCCGCAGTTTGATCAACAGAGATTTCCTAAAGCATAGGGTTCTATTTCATATCATAATCCACAATGAAGGATATTTGATACTATTAATATTAGTGTCTGTTTGGAGCAATTGCTACATTTGATCATTAAAAATGCCCTATAACTGTCTTCTTCCTGTTACATGTATGTTTTTTGTTTTAGTTTCCTTCTCCAGTTCTTCCCCATAGACTAGTTTGTTTTAGTTTTAGAATTCCAGTAGGGTTTCAAATAAGTGTGTATTAAAAACAGATTAGATACTGTTACCAGTGCAGAAAATAAAATGTATAGTATGTTACTTTTCAATACTTTAATAATCCTAGGAGTATAGGTAATGAGACTTTTTCAATAGCAGAGTGAGCAAGTGTCCAGAGATATTTTCAAAATAACTTAAAAGTTACACATCTATATCTGGTATTTGTGTGTTACAAATGTAAGTGTCTTGGTCAAGAAAATTTATGTAAACTCTTCCAAGTAATTAAGTGTGTGAACCAAGACACATACTTGAACATCTTTTCATATCTGATAGGTTTTATTCCTGATAATAATAAAACCAAGTAAATGAATTGCAAACTCTTGTTAAATGGCTGCAATATTTGCATGTGTGAAAGAGTCAAGGTAAATTTATAGTAAGTTTATGATGGCTGTAGACTGCTGGTATTGGAGGTGTATATCTGTAAGTTATCCGTGGCCAAATGCTGCAGGTGGAGAACCTTAGCTGGTGCATACTCATGTCCTTATTTCACCTCTTGGGTGTATAGAGCACCCTGAAACTGCTCTTCTAGACTTGTCTGTTTTTGCTGAGGATAAGCTGTGTGATTGTCACGCACTTATTCTTGCCTTCTTAAAGAATATATAGACTAACAGCATCAATGTGCAATAGGCAGAATCTTTACCATGTGCTTCCTTTAGTATTTTTGTCAAGTATATGATTTCAGAATTTTAAATTATTCTGTTTTACTTCATTTAGTTTTATAGTGTTTTGAGTCAAATTATTTCAAGGTATGTTGATTTCAACTGCTGTGTCTTACTTGCCAGAGCAGTTTTGACCTCATGAGCATATGTGAGGGAGGCAGGCTCAGTGACTGAACAACTTCATCTTGCTGCCATTTGTTAGCTATTTTTGTTACCACTGATCAGATTATATATCCTGTAAATTAATTAGGTAGTTAATCTATTTAAGTTTTCCTCTTTTAAATCAGAACTCTGGGAGACTAAGACAGGAGGATCACAAGCCAGAGGAACTGAGCAACTGGGGAAGACCTTGTGTCTAAAAATAAACTATATAAATACATTTTGGGAATGTAGTTCAGTGCAGAAGTCTTGAGTTCATTTCCCAGTAGCATATGTATATGTGTGCATGTGTAAATCCATGCACACACAAAATCAGGACTCAGTTTTTCTTTTCTGTTTCTACCTCCAGACAGGAAGCAAAGTAGACTTAAACTTGCAATGAAGTTTAAAGGGATAATTGTTTACCTCAGTTTTAGATGATAAAATCAGTTTTAACAAACTGAGAACAAGTGAAAAGCGGACAATTTAATTGATGTGTGCTTTTAAGTACAAATATTTAAAAAACCTGTTTAGAATACGTTACTTTTTATAAACATGATTAAGTTCAACAGATTTCATTTACAGAGCTGTAAATATCAAAAACCAACTCCGTGGAAGTTTATAGAAATTAATTAAATTGAACTTCTTTATAAGCAGACTATTTTTACAAGGAAAACAAGGAAACATAATGCTCTAGATTTTAGTCGGACGTCCAAAATAGACATGAGAAATACATTGTTTTTGGCATGATTATAGCAAACATATTCAGTTCCCAAAGATTGCTGGGGAGTTCATGCAGTCCAGAGGCCATAAGGTAGTGTTTTGGGTACCCCGTTTCCTCTCTGTTTGAATCTCACCTGTCATACTTAGCTCATCTTTCAAGCACAAACACCTTGAGTGGGTGAAGATCTTTGGTGGCAGAGCCTGAAGGATAGTTGTCCTGTGCTTGTCTTACCTGAGGATACATAGCTGCTCATATCTTTGGAATTTCCATCTACAGTGAATCAGCAATTAAAAGTTTCTTAGTAAATCATGAACGTTTCTATTTTTAGACCTAGTGTTAGAAACAAATGAAACAAATGGGATTGCCCTTTTAATATGGATGGAAAACTTAATTTTGAAATGTCGAAAGCCTAGCTAAGGAGGATTGCTTCAGATTTTTTTTAAGCCTGTCACTTTATGAAGTTGAATTACTGGAAAGCTATGTCATGGGGCCACATTTCAGTAGTCTTCCAAATAAATGCCTTAAAAGAATTGTTATTTAATAGCATGGCCTTGTCAGGAGTCAGTTATAGAGGAGGTGGTATGACAACCATCTCTGTTAGCTTTTGTAAAATTGTAGTTGCTTTCTGTAGGTTATGTTAGTTCTTAAATTCTGGTGATAAAAGCTTAGAGCTTCATCCTAATTTTCTAATTTATTTTCACATCTAGTATCTGTTCCTTTATTTGATGGAATGATTTGTAGCTCAGTAGTTTCCTGTTTTGAGGGATTTTCTAAAAATCACAAAATCAAATTGATTATAATTTGATAAAAATCCTTGCTAACATTTTTATTTATTGTTTCATGTTCCTGTCTCATTTTCATATGTTTTCTGGAAATAGGAAGTATGTAAATAAGGAATGAAAAAAAATAAGAGAATGAGTTAGATCATTTCAAATTTGAATATGAGAAGAAGCAGTACGGAAGCAGTTTTCAGTTGGGAATCTCTTAAATCATTACCCAGCTTCAGAGAACTCACATTGTTTGACTCTGAACACAGCTGGAAAGTGGATGCCATGCTGGAAGACATGGAAACCAAGCCTGGAGCTCTGTGCTCTGTGTGTCATTGGAAACTCAAAAGCTGGAGGTACAGACTGAGCATGGGGATTTACAGCAGGGGAGTAGATGGACCCCCTTCTCATTTATATATTCTGAAGTGATAGCTATTGCACTCACAGATGTCTGCTTTATAGGTTTTGTTTTTGTTTTTGTTTTTATTTTTCCTGCAGCACTGGGGCCTCAATTTGGGTGTCTTTCATCAATATCAGGAAGTACCCTCAAGATCTTCTCTACAATATTTGTGGCATTACCATCATTGTAGGTTATACAGAAATTCCTTGAATATGCTTTTCAAGTTGGTGAGGTGATTAATGTTTGCATTTCACTTTTATCTTCAATGAACACTAGTGACATATGTGCACTTTGGTTCATTGACTTAAGCTAAAGAGGATAAAAATGCTAAATATTTATCCAAATGAAAAAATGATGTTTTTGGTGTTTAAAAATTTATTATTACTGTGAGAGCATGTTTTAGTAAAGTAATTGATTTCTTTTAAAATTATAACGTCTCTTAAAGAAAGATTATGTCATAAAACGTGTTTGTTTTCTCACAGGATCCTAGTTACTGGGTGAAGATTCATCACTTAGAGTACACAGATGGAGGAATCCTGGATCCAGATGATGTCTTGGCAGATGTTGTAGAAGACAAAGATAAGGTAGATGGCTAAAAATGTTCTCTCGGTTTTGGATCTTTAACAAACATATGTGTCAATTATTAAAAGATACCATCTGCTCAGGTGTTGCCTGGACAGCTCATAAATCAAAGTTCTTCATCAGATGTGTGGTAAAACTTTGTTAGAGTTTGAGAACCTGTTGTGGTAGCCTAATTAGCAGACACTTCACTCCCGAGAGTTCCGGATACATCTCAATAAATTAGTGTCAGCCACTGAGGCTGTTTGGTTTCTGCTTCTTCCTGCTGGTTTGGAATTAATTCCCAGCACTTGCTAGAGATTCCATTTAATCCTTGAGAATTGAAGGAGTTTCACAGCACAGCGTACAGCAGTGATATGGCACCATGTGGCATGGCACAGCAGTGATACCGTGCAGGGTCCACCACACTGTGGTGGCACTGTGGTGAACAATTATTTTGAGCAGTAGTCTTCTTTTTCCAGTGCTAAGGGTTAAGAAGCACTAAAACACTTAAACATCATCCATCATCTGTGTAGGAGTAATCTCATTGCAAATACATATGTTTCAGTGCAATTTTCCTTCTGATACTAAACTGATGAAAGTATAAAAGCAAATTATTCAATTGTGCTATGGTGGATATTGTTATAGCACATTGTTTAATATTAATCCTGGGCCAGACTCCCCGTGTCAGTGGTGGAGGTGTTCTCCAAACTGAACTGTTTCTAAAGTTTCTTTTGCACATTTTTACAGATGTTTCTCTATATTGTTTCCTGGAGTCTTACGTTGGGTGCATGTGTGTGTTTGCATAGTTAGGTATTTCAAACTGAACAAGAATACAAATAAGTGATTCATTGAACTCAGATAACATTTTTTTGTATAGTCTCTTTTCATACTGTTTGAATTTACATTCTTCTCTGTGGAGATTCTATACATTTGCTTTTCATATTTCCATTTGGAACTCAAACTTGGTTTGCTCTGCATGGTAATTAGCCATTTGATTAGAGATTTACCTCCCTCAGTAAATTGCCAGCTCCTGGAGGGCAGGTATTTGGAAATATTTATTTAATTTTTGTTCCTTTATTGATATTATCTGATACAGTATCTCACACAAACTGGATTCTTAATAATCACTTACTAAATTAATGAATGAAAAAGAAAGCTTTATTCTCTACTGCATTGTGTGCTATGATTTCAATACACATTTTTTGTTTATTTAGTTGATTTTATGGTAAAGAAGAATATTTGGTTCACCCTTAGAACATGAAGAGAGGGATTTCACTTGGTTTTCTCTGCTTTACTTTGTGTTACATCCCAAGACGCTTTTCTTGCTTTGAAATATTCTAGGTATTAGGATTGTTTATTAATGGAAAAGGTGGTTCCTGTCTCACATTTCATGAAGTCCGGGTATTAGAAAGAAAGCCGATAAATGGCAGCCTTGTCCAAGACCCCATTACAGGAGGGTGATTCCATAAATAGTACCCAGGGAAATAATTTGTCTAACACAACTCGTTCCTCTGGAGCCTTCACTTTAACTATCTCAGCAGTGCTTTTTAACCATAACCATTTAATAGGCACAGAAACATTTTTATTATATTTATTCTTTTTTTAACAGGATTCGTACTACCTTTATTAAATATGATGACATGTGAGATAGTAAGTTAAAATCCTAGCAGAGAGTTCATATGCTTTGGGTATAGATTTAACCATTCTCTTAATGCAGTTTAATGTTTCTCCATGAAGCCTAACTGGTTTAGTTCTGCAGAGTTGATGAGAATTTACACTTTCAGTGGTGCCAGAAAAACATTGCATTTTGATTTTCCCCTTTTTAAGAAATAGGAGTGAAAAAGAGAGCATTGCTTATTTTTTCTGACATTCCCTTTCTGCAGTCATAAGATTTCCTTATGGCCTATATGTCTAATGTGGGAAGAAGGCTCTGCCAGACTTCAGTGTGTCTTTTTTGTCGCTTTAGATTAAGCAGTAATTATAAATGGTGCTCTATGGTTGTTTAGTGACATATCAAAGCCAAGACCCTTTGAGGCAGCATTCAGCTCACCAATTTGTAAACTGACTACATAATGTTCTTTTGCATTTAGAATACGGCTAAGAAAGCAAGCACAGAGAGACTTGCACAAAATTACTGTGCTAAAGCCAGAACATTTCAGGTCCTAGATGTGTTAGTTACTTTTCTCTCCTTGCTGAGATAAAATACCCAACACCCAAAGTTAAAGGAGGAAGGGTGTACTTAGCTCACAGTTTATGGAGGTTTCAGTCCATAATCACTTGGCTCCAAGGCAGGGTAGTGGCAGAGGGGACAGTCCTTCAGGGATACTGGGATGGTAGAAGATGCAAAGGCTAAAAGGGCAAAAGGGAGGAGCCAGCTTCTTTTTCAGTCTCCTATACTGTGTGCAGGCTTCCCACCCAAGGGCAGTTTAACACTCACACCCCGTCCCAGCAGTAGACCATGAGTCAGTAACAAACTCTAGATTCACCCATCTCTGGAAAGCCTGCCCTGCATGACTGTGTGTCTTTGTGTGTGTGTGTGTGCGCGCACACGCATGCATGTGTGGGTGGGAAGTGCATACACAAACCGTGACACTCCAAAGGACTGAGTACAGATGCACATTGCAGTCAGGAACTGTCTATAGTTCAGCTGCAGGGGATAAAGCAGGGAAGACCGGCACTTAGAATGTAGTATAGGCTGAGGCCCTTTAGATTATGGAAAAGCCACTGAGTACATTTCAATAAAGCTGAAACTCTAGGCTGATCTCTTTAAAATCAGAGGAAAGCCTAACTGAATCTAGTCAGTTTTCTGTAGAAATGACTTGCAACTTCCATCCTAGAGGGTGTGCCTTTGCATTCATTCACTGCTGCTGTTCCTCTAGCAAAGACACTTGTTAGTGAGTAAATGCTTTCTTTCTAAAAGTTTTTTTTAAACCAGAATTTTATTTGGTTAATTTTTTTAGTCATATTTTATGGGTACATTTAAATATACAAAATGATCACACTTATAGAAAATTTGTACCTGTACATGACATAACTTGTTTCTTTTTTCCTCATTCTCCTCCTCTCCCTTCTAATCCTCCCTCCCCTTCCCATGTACAATAGCTTTGTTTACATTTTTTCCTTCTTTTTCTTATCTTTTTTTTTTTACTTTTCCCCTTTCCTTTCTCCCCTCTCCCATCCCTTATTCTCCTCCCCATTTGAACATTTGCTTCCTATTTCATAATACCTATTATAAGTTTTTGCCCTTATTTACACATTCAGTTTCTCACACAGAGAAACAATGCAGTATTTACATGTGTGTCTGATTTATTTCATTTGAGGATATAGTCTCAAGGTGCATCCATTTACCTATAATGTCTTCTCTTTCTTATGGAAAAGAAGTGCTCCATTGTATAAAAACACATATCTCTCTGTCCATTCACCTGTTGATGGGCATTTGGGCTGTTTTCAAGATTTGGCTATTACAAACTGTGCCACTATAAATATGGGTATGCATATATTGCTGTGGTATGGTGCTTTTCATTCTTTCGGGAAGAAATGATAAAGGGGAATAGCTGGGTTAGATGTTTTGTTTTTAACTTGCCTCCCCATTTATAGCCCTTTCCTGGGGAATCAATTTTTTTAACTTTGTTATAATATTTTCATCTTATAGTTCATCAAAAATTGAAAAAGTTCAGGAATCTTACATCTTCTGATAACTAGTATTTGTATAAAATGTTGTACTAAAACTTTTGTTTATTTAGTTCTGAAAATTATTGTCAAGATTCTTTAATTTAGGTATTAGGCTGATGGTTAAAGTTCTTTGGCATAAATACATTGATCAACAGCTTTATAGTAATATCTCTTCTCTGGCTGCCAAAGGCAACCAACTTAATTCACCCAATAATGATGAAACATTTTACAGTGATCATAATGTCTTTGGTTCTTCTTTATTCTGTTTTATTTTAAAGCAACCTTGCAGGCAAGAGCCATTATTTTCTCTATTTTTAGTCCCTAGATTATCCACAGAAACTGTGGGAAACTTACTCAGGATCACACAGACCATATAAGTAACAGAACTAGAATCTGGAGTACCATTTACATTTCCATGCTAATTTTTTTTCTGTAATGTGACAGGCAATATATTAGATGTTTGTATTAATAACTTGTATTGAGGAGTATTCATCAATCATAAATAAATATGAAATTTAATTTTATGCACTCACCACTATTGCTAAGAAAGTGTAGGTAGTAGACTCAACTATAGAGTATAACAAAACTAATTAAAAGTTAGTATGTCATATATATTTAATTCATTTCAATTCTCTGCCTAGAGTTTGCATATGATATTTTATTAAATCCTGTTAGTTTTACCTGTTTTATCTTGCCTCCCTTTATTCAGGACCCAGATTACTAAATTCAAAAGTGGTTTAATTCCATTTTAAATCCAGGTGTGGTGGTACACACCTATAATTTCAGCACTCAAGAGGCTGGGGCAGGAGGATCACTGGGAGTTCAGGCCAGCATGGGCTACATAGTGAGTTTAAGGGCTACACAATGAAACCCTGTCTCAAAAACAAACAAAACAAAATGAAAAACAAACACTAATTCCACCTAGATTTTGTATACTATATTTGAAGTTTAACTAATACATATGCATTTTCTAGAAAGATAAATTCTGTATTCCAACAACCACTTTTCAAAAGGATTTAGCGTATGCACAAACCATAAACTGTGCTGTCTTCAGTAGGCAAAACAATATTGCCTTGTCCCAGGATGGTATGAGGCTTATTCATCCGGTTTTGAAGAACGAGGGAAAGGCTGCCACCAAAATTGTAATGACCTTGGGAAACTGTCAAAGGCACGGGAATGCCCAGCATTCTTCTACCCAGCAACAAGAACCTGGATTGTAGCCTGGAAGACCCATTTTGTATTTCCTCTGGAGCTGTAAGGTAATAGCCACTAGCTTTGCAGAAAGTTGTTATAGCACCCTTAGGACACTAGTATACTGCTTTTTATTCTACTTTAGATTTCTAGTGATGTT